TTACCTGTTTCTTATCGTGGGTCAGAATAAAAACAGCCCAAAAGCTGCTATTTTAAGGTTTGTAGGGGCAGTTGGAGGTTGGAGGAGGTTCTGGGGGCTCATACTGAGCCAGGGTCTGTCCTTAGATGAGAGGTCACTATTGAGAGGCTGGGGTGATGAGGACCATCAGGAGGCATTTGGTCCACACCCTAGCCTGGCCACAGAGGAGATGGGGCACAAGGGGTCTCATCTCCTACCTGTCACCTGGGCCTGGACACTCAGCAGATGACTCAGTAATGTGGAGAAGGCCAGCTTGCTGCCCGCCTGCCATGTGAGGTTCCCTATAAAGATGATGCGGCTGCCCCTATTACTAGTTTCACCTCCAGCTGTGCCTGGAGCCGCTCAGCCTTGCCACCCATGGGTGGCTGCAGGTCACTCCAGCCCTGAAAAGGCCTCAATGTCACCTGGGAGGATAGGCTTAGCCAGCAAGCCCAGCCATGACCACACAAGCTGTGGCCGGAGAGAGGGCAGGAGACAGCCCAGCTAAAGGCTTTCTATGCCAATCCTTCCCCAGGTTTTGTTTTTTCTTGAGACAGAGTCTCACTGTTACCCAGGCTGAAGTACAGTGGCGGGATCCTGGTTCACTGTAACCTCTGCCTCCCAGGTTCAAGTGATTCTCCTGCCTCAGCCTGCCAAGTAGCTGGGATTACAGGCACACACGCCCGTGCCCAGCTAAATTTTTCTATTTTTAGTAGAGATGGGGTTTCACTATGTTGGCCAGGCTAGTCTCAAACTCCTGAGCCCAAGCGATCCGCCTGCCTCGGCCTCCCAAAGCGCTGAGATTACAGGCATGAGCCACTGTGCCCAGCCCTTCCCCAATTTTTTAAACTCCAGATTTCTCAAAATTAGAAACCTGTGCTACAAACTAAGAAGTAAATACAAAGGCTTCCCCTCCTCGACAATCCCCTCATTGGATCCATCAGGAATTCAGTCGACTGTCGCTATGGAATCCGTCTAGAATCAACCCCTTCTGCCACCTCCGCTGCGCACCAGCTCCAGCCCCGGTCATCGCCCCTGTATTACCGCAGCATCCTCCTGGCTCTCCCGGCTCCCATCTCACTGCTGGTAACTGATCTCCACGTGGTCACCAGACATGTCCAATGATGGCACATTAGCGTTTCTTCCAGTACAATCCAAAGTCCTTGAGAAGGCCAGTGAAGCCAGAACTTTGTGGGTCACTGGTGCAGACACTGACAGGTGGGCCATGGGGAAGCTCACTACACTCCAAGGCCCCACAGGGGAGATCCTCTAGAAAAGCCATGAGCAACTGCAAATATCATCTTTGGTGGCTCTGCCAACCTGCAGACCTACCCCACACACCCCTCTGATGGCCACTAGCTGGTCAGTTCACCCAAAAGATGTCAAAACAACACTTGCTATTACCAGACCGTCACTACTTAATGCTCTTTCCCTGATCCCCATAGATGTGTATGCAGATGTGTGTGTACAAATGTGTGTGCATGTGTGTACAGATGTATCTGTACATGGATGTGTGTGTATACAGAAGTGTGTGTGTAGACAGTCATAGGTATGTGTGTATAAATGTGTGGATATGGATGTGTGTGTACATGGATGTGTCTGTATGTAGATGTGTGTGTATATGGACCTGTGTAAAGATGTATATATATATAAGGGTGTGTGTATATGGATGTATGTGTACAGCTATGTCTACATGTGGATGTCGATGCTCGCAGCTTTTCCTGCTGACAGGCGCATCCTAGCGACGGCTTTCTCCAGTCTGTGTCAGAGGCTGTGTGGTGGTGTCAGAGTTTCCTCTGTGAACAGGGTGAGCAGTTAAAGAGAACACTAGTTATAAATGCGTCAGGTCAGCAGGTGTAAGCTGGGGCTCTCCAGGCAACCCAGGACCCAACCCCCACACACCGGGGGAGGGGGTGCCAAACAGAACACTTCCCACACCAATCTTAAATCCCATAAACTTTGAGACCAGTTGAACTCAAGCTCTGGCACTTAGTATTCATGAGCTCATCAGCCTCAGTATCCTCACCTCGTATGGGGTTACAGAGAGGACTTGAAGAAGGGACCTCATGTCTGCTGGAACAGGCGCCAGAAAGTTCCAGAGTGCCGACTATTACTGTAATTGTGATGAGTCTGCGGCAGATGGAACTAGAATTTCTTCAAAAGCAAACAAGCATTTCCAGGCTGCAGACAGCTCTATAGGGAGCAGCAGGAAGGTCTGAGGAGAGGTACAGGCAATTCGTGCCTGCACATTTAGCAAACAACGAGAAGATCAGAAGCCTCTGGGAGTTCCAGAAAGGAGGCATAAGTCTCAGCCATCAGGCAGGTGGGGCTTTAGGAGGAAGATGGCTCTCCCCTGACATGGGTCTTTTTCCCACCCAGGCTGACGACAGAGCTGGAAGCAGAAAGTGCATTTATGCAGCAAGACATCCAGCCCTGGTCAGACGCTCCACTCCAGGCCTCTCTGAGAAGACACTGGAAACTCAGGCAGAATCGGGAGATCCACTGCTGAATGCGCCCAGGGGTCATGCCTGGCAGGATCAAGTCTAAAGCTGCTATTTGTACCCTGGCTGGAGTGCAGTGGCACGATCTCAACTCCCTGCAAACCTCCACCTCCCAGATTCAAGCAATTCGCCTGCCTCAGCCTCCCGAGAAGCTGGGCCCACAGGACGTGCACAACCACGCCCAGGTAAGTTTTGTATTTTTGGTAGAGACAGAGTTTCACCTTCTTGGCCAGCCTGGTCCCAAATTCCTGACTTCATGTGATCCTCCCGGTCACCTCCCAACATTTGTATACTTTTTGAAGTCACTGATCTGCTTAAAAAGGGGATAGAAGTTTTAAATCTTCTCCCCAGGATGGAGGAGACAGAAACAAAACTTCAACATAATGACAAGGACTTCAAGTGACTAAGTTCTATCCAGGTGCCCTTGGGTAAGAACCCTTGAAAAGCACCTACTAAGATGAAAATGAGCCTGGACAACATAGTAAGACCCATCGTCACAAAAAAAGAAAAGAAAAAAATAGGAAAGCATGGTGGCACAGGCCTTAGTCCCGGCTACTTGGGAGGCTGAGGCAAGGGGATCGCTTGAGCCCCGGGGTTCAAGTTTGCAGGGACCTAGGATCATGCCGCTGTACAGAAGACCTTGTAAAAGAAAAAGAAAAGTGAGGGAGAGAGAAAAAGAGGGTGTCAGAAGAGAGGGGGAAAGACACAGGAGGGAAAGGGGTAGGAAGAGGAAAAGAGCGGGAATAGAGGGAGGGAGAGAAAGGAAAGAAAATGAAAAAAAAAAAAAGGAAGAAAATAAAACAAATGAGAAAAAACAAACCTTGTGGCCAGGGAATTCCACTATTAAGAATTTACTCTGCAGAGAGAGTGGTGTTCACAGCAGAATATTTGTAAGAGAAGAAACCTGGGAAAAACTCTGGAGCCCTTCGTTATAAAACTAGCTGGATACATTCCATTCCATGGATTATTACATGGCCATCTGCACTGCATGGGAGATGCTGATTTTTTTTAAGTGGACACATTAACCCGATATGCTGACTATGTGCATAGATCATCTCGGAAAAGAATCACCAAAACAACCCTAACAGTGGTTGGCTTTCAGGAGGGGTGGGAGAGCGGCTTTAAGGCTGCACCAGCACCAACCAATAGAACTTTCTGCGATGAGGACCATGTTTCAGGGCCACCCGCAGCTGCGGAGCACCTGAAATGTGGCCCACGCAGCCAGAGAACCAAATCTTTCATTTTCTTTAACGTTAATTCATTTAGATTTTTTTTTTTTTTTGAGATGGAGTCTTGCTCTGTTGCCCAGGCTGGAGTAAAACTGTGTGATCTTGGCTCACTGCAACCTCTGCCCCTCAGGTTCAAGCAATTCTCCTGCCTCAGCTTCCCAAGTAGATGGGATTACAGGAGCCCACCACCACATCTGGCTACTTCTTGTGTTTTTAGTAGAGATGGGGTTTCACCATGTTGGTCAGACTGGTCTCAAACTCCTAACCTCAGGTGAGCCACCTGACTCAGCCTCCCAAAGTGCTGGGATTATAGGCGTGAGCCACCATACCCAGCCTCACTTAGATTTCCGTAAACACATATGCCATTGGCTGCCATGTGGGAGACTCAGTTCTATACCCTTTCATAGTTTTTGAACTTTGAATCATTTAAATGCGTCACCTATTTTTTAAATTGTAGAATTTAATAGAATAGTATTTAGATAGAATTAATCTAAATGAAATCTACAATAGAATTTAAGTTGTACCAGTGCATACTGATATGTAAAAAGAGTGCCAAGGTAGGAAGGGGGGAGGGGGGGAGGGGGGGAGGGAGGGAGGGGGGAGGGGGGAGGGAGGGAGGGGGGAGGGAGGGAGGGGGGAGGGAGAGGGGGAGAGAGAGAGAGAGAGAGAGAGAGAGGGAGAGAGTGAGTGTGTGTGTGTGTGTGTGTGTGTGTGTATATTTCCTTTTTTTTTTTTTTTTTTGAGTCGGAGTCTTACTCTGCTACCCAGTCTGGAGTACAGTAGTAGGGACTTGGCTCTCTGCAACCTCCACCTCCAGGGTTCAAGTGATTCTCCTACCTCAGCTTCCCAAGTCACTGGGATTACAGGCACACAACACCATGCCCACCTCATTTTTGTATTTTTAGTAGAGAAGGCATTACACCATGTTGGCCAGGCTGGTCTTGAACTCCTGACCTTAAGTGATCCACCTGCCTCAGCTTCCCAAAGTGCTGAGGATTACAGGCATGAGCCACCATGCCCAGCTGCAAAGGTGTATTTTTGAGTAAAAATAGCAAGGTACAAACAAAAAATAGGGACTAGCTGGGCATGGTGGCTCATGCTTGTAATCCTAGCACTTTGGGAGGCTGAGGTGGGAAGATCGCTGGAGCCCAGGAGGCCAAGGCTGCAGCGAGTCATGTTTGTATCACTGCCCTCCAGCCTGAGTGACAGGGCAAGATCCTGCCTCAAGAAAAAATTAAACTTAAAATTAAAAAACTAAAACCTAAGCATGACGATTGGGTTTTCATGCTACTGTATGATCATATGCCTTCCTCAAAACTTGTTACAACATCATCACATCACCCATCTGATGCAAAAAAGAAAAAATAGAACCCAGAAACCCAAACTAAAAATATTTGCAAATCTATCATGTTATACATTGTACTGTGTCTCCCTGAAAGACGCCGAAGCCCTATGCCGCAGGGTCTGTGGATGTGACCTTATTTGGAAATAGGTTCTTCACATGTGATCAAGCTAAGCTGAGGTAATGAGGGTGAACCCTAATCCTGTATGCCTGGTGTCCTTATAAAAAGGGGATGTGTGGACACAGACACGTACAAAGGGAAGACAATGTCAAGACAGAGACAGAAGACCACCTACAAGCCAAGGAACTCTGGAGGCTACAAGAATCAGGAGCAAGACCTGGGACAGATCCTCCCTCACGGCCTTCATAGGAAAAACAAACAAACGAAAACCCCTTGACTTCAGACTCCTGGCCTCCAGAACTGTGAGAATAATCCTCTATGGTTGAAGCCACACAGTTTAGGGGACTTTGTTAAGGCAGCGCTGGGAAATGATGCGGATTTCTTGGGGCGTACATCAACACTTCTGCAGGAAATGTGGGACGTGGCGTGCTTGAACTTACCATTCATACCTTTCTCTACTCTGAATTCTTTTTTTGATAGACAGAGTCTCACTCTGTCACCCAGACTGGAGTCTAGTGGCACAAGCACGGCTCACTGCAGCCTCCACCTCCTGGGCCCCAGTGATCCTCTTGCCTCAGCCTCCTGAGTAGCTGAGACTACAGGCACACGCCACTGTGCCTGGCTAATTTTTTTAAAAAAATGTTTTGTAGAGATGGGGTCTTGCTATGTTGCCCAGGTTTACCTGGAACTCCTAGCCTCAAGTGATCCTCCCACCTTGGCCTCCCAAAGTTCTAGGATTTTAAGTATAAGCCAGTGTAACTGGCTTGCTGGTTTTTTGTTTTTGTTTTTGTTTTTTTTTAAATACAGAATCTTGCTCTATCGCCCAGGCTAGAGTGCGGGGACATGATTTCAGCTCACTGCAACCTCCACCTCCTGGATTCAAGCAATTCTTCTGCCTCAGCCTCCTGACTAGCTCGGATTATAGGCACCTACCACCACACCCAGCTAATTTTTGTATTTTTATTAGACATGGGGTTTCACCATTTGGCCGGGCTGGTCTTGAACTCCTGAATTCAGGTGATCCACCCAATTCAGCCTCCCAAAATGCTGCAATCTTGGCTCACTGTAGCCTCTGCTCCTGTGTTCAAGCAATTCTCCTGCCTCAGTCTCCCAAGTAGCTGGGATTACAGGTACCTGCCACCATGCCTGGCTAGTTTTTGTACTTTTAGTAGAGATGGGGTTTCACCATGTTGGCCAGGCTGGTCTGGAATTCCTGACCTCAAGTGATCCACCTGCCTCAGTCTCCCAAAGTGCTGGGATGACAGGCATGAGCCACTGTGCCCGGCCTACTTCTATTATTATTACATTTTATATATAATAAAATACTCGCACAACTCACCATAACATGGAATCAGCGGGAGCCCTGAGCTCGTTTTCCTGAAACTAGATGGTCCCTTCCAACCGCAACGGGAGACAGTGATAGAACATCAGGCATTAGAGTCTCATGAGGAGCATGCAGCCCAGCTCCCTCACGTGCTGTTTACAGTGGGGTTTGCACTTCTATGAGAATCTAACCCTGCCACCGATCTGACAGGAGGTGGAGCTCAAGCGGTGATGCCAACAATAAGGAGTGGCTGTGAACACAGATGAAGCCTCCCTTGCCCACCCGATGCTCACCTGCTGTGCTGCCTGCCCAGTTCCTAACAGGTGAGCTGGATGCAGTGGCTCACACCTGTAATCCCAGCACTTTGGGAGACTGAGGCGGGTGGATTACCTGAGATTGGGAGTTTGAGACCGACCTGACCAACATGGTGATACCCTGTCTCTACTAGGAGTACAAAAATTAGCCTGGCACGGTGGCTTATACCTGTAATCCCAGCTACTTGGGAGTCTGAGGCAGAAAAGTCACTTGAATCCAGGAGGCAGAGGTCGCAGTGAGCCAAGATCATGCCATCGCATTCCAGCCTGGGCAACATGAGCAAAACTCCGTCTCAGAAAAGAAAAAAAGGCCAGGCGCGATGGCTCACGCTTGTAATCCCAGCACTTTGGAAGGCTGAGGCAGACGACTCAGTTAAATAAAGGAGTTCGAGACCAGCTTGGCCAACATGGTGAAACTGTCTCTACTAAAAATACAAAAATTGGCTGGGTGTGGTAGTACATGCCTGTAATCCCAGCTACTCAGGAGGCTGAGGCAGGAGAATTGCTTGAACCTGAGAGGTGGAGGTTACATTGACCTGACATTGCACCATGGCAGAGTGAAACTCTGTCTTAAAAAAAAAGAAAAACAAAAACAACAGGAACAGACCACAGACTGGTACTGATCCTTGACCAGGGGGTTTGGGGACCCCAGCCATAGACAATATGTAATGATCAAATCTGGGTAACTGAGACAGTCATCACCTCAAATATTTATCTTTTGTTTTGGGAACACGAAAATCCTTCTCTTCTAGCTATCTTGAAATATGCAAATAAATTCTCCTTCACTGTAATTTCCCTTGTGCATTATTGATTACTGTAACTTATTCCTTCTATCTAGGCCTTCTTGTCTTTCATTCTTTTTCAAAATTATTTTTATTTATTTTTGAGACAGAGTTTCACTTTCTGACAGGCTAGTGCAGTGGCATGATCTCGACTCACTGCAACCTCCACCTCCTGGGTGCAGGCAATTCTCCTGCCTCAGCCTCCCCAGTAGCTGAGATGACAGGCTTGCATCACCATTCCTAGCTAATTTTTGTATTTTTAGTACAGATGGGATTTTACCGTATTGTCCAGACAGGTCTCGAACTCCTGACCTCAAGCAATCCACGCACCTCGGCCTCCCAAAGAGCTGGGGTTACAGGAATGAGCCACCATACCCGGCCATTCATTAATTCTTACATTCATTCATTCATTCCTAATAACTACTGCCTGGTTATCATATACCCGGCAGAGTTCCAGGCTCTGGGGAAACAGCAATGAGCAAAACAAAGTTGCTGCTTTCTTAATGGATCCATCATTTTAATGACAGGGAGAGAGAGAAGTGATCCATAAACAAACCAGTAACAGAAAGCACATCGGGTAGAAAGCAGTATGAAGAATATTTATTAAAGCAGGTGTGGCCAGGTGCAGTGGCTCACACCTGTAATCCCAGCACTTTGGGAGGTCAAGGTGGATAAATCCCTTGAGGTTAGGAGTTCAAGATCAGCCTGGACAACATGGTGAAATGCCATCTCTACTAAAAGTGCAAAAAAAAAAAAAATAGCCAGGCATGGTGGCACCTGCCTGTAATCCTAGCTATTCAGGAGGCTGAGGTGGGAGGATTGCTTAAACTCAGGAGGTGGAGTGAACTGAGATTGCGCCACTGCACTCCAGCCTGGGGAACAAAGCAAGACTCTGTCTTTAAAAAAAAAAAAAAGGTAGAGAGAAAGGTGCAGGTGTCGGGTGCACCAGCACGCGCAGGGGTGCTGTGGTGGAGAAGGTGGTCAGGAAAGGCCTCTCCATGAAGGTGACAGACATGGGGGCTGAGCCTGGGGACTCCTGGAGAGAACAGCACGGGAGGGCTCTAAGCGTTGTGGCCATTTGTGGTCCTTTTGTTTTGTTTTTGAGATGAAGTCTTGCTCTGTCCCCCAGGCTAGAGTGAAATGGCACAATCTCAGCTCACTGCAATCTCCGCTACCTGGGTTCAAGCCACCTCAGCCTCCCAAAGAGCTGGGATGACAAGTGTGAGTCCCGTGCCTGGCCTATGTACCAACATTTTTAAATTCTTCCTAAAGCTGTGCAGCGAATCCCACTGACCTTGCCAAGGGCATCCCAGAGCCGTCTGCCTCTCAGTGTCTCTGACCTCAGTCCTGATCCATCCACCGTCATCCTGTGCCTGGACTTCTGCAGGGGCTGATCCCGGGACCATTGCCCCAGGGAGGCAGCCCCGAGCCCAGCTGGGTATGATGCCATCAGGAAGGCTACCTGGAGGTGGGTGATGCCCGAGCTACATCTTTTTTTCTTTCTTTTACATTTTTTGTGGAGTTGGGATCTCACTATGTTGCCCAGGCTAGCCTCAGGCTCCTGGGCTCAAGTGATCCTCTGCCCTCAGCCTCCTAAAATGCTGGATGACAGCCTGGGCTACATCTTAAATGACCAGGATGTGGTTGCTGAGCAGGCAGAGGTCGGGGGGATGGAGCTGGGGAAGAGGGAGGGGAGGCTTTGAGACAAGAGGCGGCAAAAACCTGGGCACAGGGAACAGCATGACTCGGAGGATACTCAGTGTGGCCAGAGGAGCGCGTGGGTGGGTCACTTGGCATTTTAGGGTCAGGCAGGAGTTTGGGGTCTCCCGTGCTTCACCAGGGTAGGGGCATCATCAGAGGGCAGCTGCCTGGAGAAGGTTTTTTGTTATTTTTTTGAGATAGAGTCTTGCTGTGTTACCAGGCTGGAGTGCAGTGGTGCGATCTCTGCTCACTGTAACCTCTGCCTCCCGGGTTCAAGCAATTCTCCTGCCTGAGCCTCTGAAGTAGCTGGGATTATAGGTGCCTGCCACCAGGCTCAGCTAATCTTTCTATTTTTTAATAGAGATAGCATTTTGCCATGTTGGCCCAGCTGGTTTTGAACTCCTGACCTCAGGTGATCCACCTGCCTCAGCCCCCCAAAGTGCTGGGATTACAAGTGTGAGCCACTGTGCCCAGAGGAGGCCACGTAGGAGGCTGGACAAACAGTCCAGGTGACAGATGGACATTGGGACAGCTGGGCCTGCAGAGGAAATAAGTCCCCTCCCTCCCTCCCTCCCTTTCCTTTCTTCACTACTCCTTTCTTCCTCTTTCCTGCCCTTTCTTTCTTCCCTCTCTTTCTTCCTTTCCCTCATTTCTTCTCTTCCTCTCTCAACTCTTTCCTTCCCTCCCTCCTTTTCTCCCCGCCCCCTCCTTTCTTCCGTGGTTCTCAAACACCCATCCAGCACCTCTGCCTGCCGAGCACTAACTAG